AACCTAAAGGGCATTTTGCCTCTGCGTTTGGCCCTAAGCACCACCACGAAGCAGCTGTGGCGAAGAAGTTTATCAACGCTGCCAGGAGAGGCCGGCTTGCCGAGACACCTGAGTTTGCAAACTACCCTGTTCATGAAGAATATGCCCGGGGTGCGCCCAAGCCACATGAACGCACGCTCGTCTACGCTCTATACGACATGAACATTAAACACCGTGCAAAGTCGCAGATGAAGCAGTTTATCCTCCAACGCACAATCCGGCCTGGCTCCTTCACTGTACACCGCGGTGACATGGAGGTGAAGCTTGTAGACAAGAAGATCGAGCGGCTCCCTGCTTTCAAGGACTTCCTGAAAGACGGATCGAAAAAGGACTTTGACTACTCGGCTTACTACGATAAATTCCATCCGGAGATTAAGGAGCGAATCAAGGAATGCATGGTACTCCGGGAGCAATTGATCGCTGAAGGCGGAGAGGAAAGTAGTAATAAACGCACTCGACGGCCCCGGCGCGACTCACTCGAAGATTCAGACGACGAAATCGTAATCCCCTCCAGGAAGCCCAAGAAGCGTAGTAGAGTCGATGATTCAGATTCTTCTGGCTCCTCAAGTCCATCCCGCAAGTCTCGCTCTAAAAAGCCAACAATCACCTTTGACGTCTCCTCCCCTTCCTCACCCCCTCAAGACCTGCCACCCTCATCCCGCTCCAGCTCTCTCCGCCGAAAGCCTCGCATCAACTACTCGGAACCCCACGACACCATTCCCTCCCCTCGCACCAGCACCACCAGCAGCACCACCCCAGCATCCGCTCTCTCCCCCTCATCCAACATCCCGCAACCCGCCCTCTCATCCTCCGCCCCATCCATCTCCACCACCTTCACACCACCCGCTCTCTCCCCCTCCGCCCCTCTCCCCGCCAAAGACGCCCGCAAAGAAAGCTGCAGCACCCTCTTCCCCACCGACGACGCTTCGTGGGCAAACTTCGATCTCGCCCCACTCGACGGCACTGAAACTTTCCTGACACAAGCACAGATTGATGCGCTGCTTAATGCGGCGTACCGTCGCAAGTCGAGTACGCTGAGTGTAGGACCAATTGGGCCTGCTTCTCCTTTGCTTAAGTCGCCGGTGGCTACATCGCCGCTGCCGGTTACGCTGCCGTCGGTTACTACGCTGCCCCTCCTTAAGTCGTCGTTGGGAGCTCGGACTGGTGCAACACTGCGCAGGGCGAGTTTTAATGCAAAGCCCGTGTCCGGGTGTAGGGAGTTTAGGGTGGAGGATCCACCGGTTTGTGTGGCGGAGGGGAGGGAGTTGAGGAGGAGTAGGAGGGGGAAGGGGGAGAGGAGTTGATGGTGAGGGATACTTGGAGTTCGTGGAGATGGTAGAGAGGGAGTTGTTGGTTCACGAAGGTAGATATCAAGATGTAGTTTTTGGGTCAATTAGCAAATATGTTTTTTTGTATACGACATGTATTTCCTCATCATGTAGCATGAATTATCTTTTCGTTAAATCGAGTTTCTATCTTCTGAACGTGCTTGTGACATCTATTTGTATTTGTTCCAGGTCCTGTAACAAGGTTCCCATCACACAATGTTCGGTTGAAGCACTTGATTGGCTAGCTTACATGAGCGGCTGCGCCACGGGTCGGAGTATTAGAGTGCTCTTCAAACCTTGGTATCTTGTCGACTAGGAGTTCGGAGGCTAGCCTCCCGCGAATGACGCCGTTGACAAATGAAGCGTGCGGCCGTAAAGCAACGAGCCAGCGCTTCAGCCCTGCCAAGGCGACGGGCAGGAATGTCACGAGGGAGATTGGCGGCCCGTCTACGGAGCCCGAAAGAACAAAATCAAAGAGGGCACAAGTGATTGGACGGCTGGTGGGACAGGATGGAGTCGTGTGTAGCCGCGCGGATGATGATGAAATCCCAACCATTCAGCATGCAACGACACCGCCATGGCTACCCAACAATCCACCTCAACATGTTCCTTGCTCCTACCCGGGTGACCAGTAAGCCCCTGATGATTCTTCTCCGCTCACAGTTGCTGAGCAATCTTCTTGTCCCGGCGATTCCATCAGCAAACTCTACGCCCAGAGGTCCTTCGCTTATACCACACATGCGTACTAATACCCAGGCACGGCACGCCCTTGTCGACTAATAATACCCCGTCGCATTATCGTATTGCATCACCGCCCCACCAGGCTGGCTACATACCAGCCCTCACCTCCCGCCTCTGTGTACCAACATTGTACGTAGTAAGACAACATGGCTTCGCGTAATTCGACGCCATTGCGCTCGCGCTCCTCTTCCAACAGCACCTCATCTTCCGACGCCACCATGATGGACGCAGCGCCGCAATCCCCAAGCGGCCCAGCCCGTCTCCGCAACCCTTCGTACGGCCATCTCCCCACACCCACGACGACGCATATGCACACGCTCAACACCCGGCCCGATCCGTCCTTTTCGCTCCTCTTGTCGCTCCCCAGAGAGCTACGGGACCGCGTCTATGCATTTGCTCTCGTCTCAGACTCGCCCTTTTGGTGGCCATCCAAATCCCCAGACGCCGACCACCACAATGTTAGCACCGGCCTTCTTCGCACCAACAAGCAGGTGTATAGCGAGTCAATCGACATTTTGTACTCGCAGAACAGGTTCCTGTTCACGCACCCCAGCGACTGCAATGTGTTCCGCGTGGTCGCATCTTCCGCTTCAGTCAATATAACGAGTGTCTATTTCCGTATTAGACAGAAAGACTTGAAGCTGTGGACCGCGTATCTGGGAAGCAAACAAGCAGAAAGGAGTTTGAAGAACGATCTCCCCAAATTGAAGAGTCTGTGGGTGTTTCTTAGGTGTGGCGCCATGGGGCTGCCTGCTGCGTTTGGGAGTCTGCAAGCTGCGCCTGTGGGTGCCATGGGAGGACCGGGAGGACATCCCCAAGCTTTGCCGATCGCTCTGGGACAGCAGATGCATGCCCTCCAGCAACAAGTTCAGAGCCTCACGCAGGTCATGGCCAATGCGAATGCACAGGCTGCTGCTGGAGGCAATCAAGCCCAAACAGGAGGCAACCAAACTCCACCTCCTCCGCCACCAGCACCGGCAATGCCCTTTTTGCAGTTTGCACAAGGCCCCATGGGACTAGGCGGGCCTCATCATGGTCTTCACCATCACCAGAACCACCCCCCGCATGTCAACTTGCTTGCGCAACAACAATTGCAGATGCACCAGCAAGCCAATATCCATCCACCACCACTGTTCCACGCGCCACATCATATCGGGTCCATGGTAAATCCACAAGCGAACAGAACAGATCCACGTGATCCACACACTCTGTTCTCAACGTTTCTCCGCTTCGAGCGGGAGCTGGGTATTGAATCGCTCTGCCTGAATCTTCGTGATGCTCTCTATTCCGGCCCATCCACATCGATGAACTTTGATTCGTCTTCCAGCAGTGATGCTTCATCAGTAGCTGGGAGCCCACCAGTGGCACACAGCAACGAGCCCCGACCAGAGGTCAAGATAGTGTGCATTGTCCATATTCCGCGTAGGATAATGGAGCGAGTGGTCGCACTTCACCCAGATGAGTTGGTTATAGATAGCAAAACTCACGATGCGAGGACGCGGTTCAGGAAACTGCATGGCATCGATGTTTGTATGGAGTTGAATGGATGTCCTCCGCTACGTCCGGGGCAAGATGCGGCAGACCATGGTGATATGCATGCGCATGAGCACTGAGGGCTTGTCATGTCGCATTTTTTCGTATGTCGTCAGTGGACTTTCTTTCAAGTTGTAGTACAAGATACCCGTATGAGGACATGGATGTTCCTCGAGACAAAAATTGATTTCAGCTTTGCTTTCACTTCATGGACATGTAGTTCTCACTCACTATTGCATTCGTTTCTCATCGCCTGTTGTTTGCAGCGCTGCACAATATAACTGTTTGCGCCCTTCTACGTATTTGAAATCTGACCTTCAGAAAAGACTCTGCAACTACACCATCCACTCAACTATTGTAAGTATGGACTACATCAACATGCCTCCAACCCCATTTCAAGTCGAACCCGAACCCCATGAATCAATCGACATCTTCTCGACGATCGATTCCTACAACCTACCCGTCATCACTCCCTGCTCCTCCACCCCCAACCCCCACAGCCTCGTACTCCCAATGCTCTTCCACCTCCTCACCTGCGGCCACATCGTTACAATCGACGACCCTGACCGGCGCTGCGCCCGCAACTGCCACCACACCACCGACCCCCGCTCATCGCGCTCCAGCGAATTCCCAGACCCACAGCCCACGTACGTTTCTTGCATTCCCTTCCAGCTATCTCGTTCTACTTTGTTAACAACTTTACTTCAACAGACAAAGCGGCGATGGAATCACCTTCACCGATGACAGCAAAGATATCCACGCCGACACCCTCTACTGCGAAGTCTGCACCGCAATCCCATTCGACAGGTACTACATCATGTTTCCACCCGCAGACACCACCCCTCTTCCCCGCCGCTGCTTAGCACTCTCACGCGCTATCATTGCCGGCGCAACGCTGCTGCCCGCGCCGGCGATAGAGGAACTCTTGTGTCCTGTGTTGTACGTCCCCGGACGCGTGCCGCATGAGTTGAAGTGCGGGCATAGGGTTTGGTGTTTGTCGGAGAGGCGGTGCGGGGTCAATTGTAGGGAGGAGGGGTGGAAGGGGGAGGATGGGTTGGTTTGTGGGAAGTGTATCTGGAGGGGGGAGAGGGTGCATGGGAGGTATTGGGGGTGAAGGTGAGAGGGGAGTGGGGGTTCACTTTCACCTGCTTGGTGGGGTTGTATTATTAGGGTGGTTTGGGCGTTTGTTCAGAGGTGAGCGGACGAAGATTCACCTCGTTGTTCACAATGTTTTGAGTGCTGAGTAACTTATAAAGTTGGGCTTTTTGATCCGGATTGCGGAAAGCGAATAAACGGAAGTACAACTCAACTACGATCACAGCAAAGAAAAACCGTCAAGTGAGAGAAGCAATTGCGCCAATGGCGAGGCAGCAGTCTACCACTTCCAGGCGCTCGTCGCAGAGCCGGGATGCCTCCAGAATTAGGTCGTCGCGGTCAGAGTCACCAGGTTCAAAGGCTGCGGAAATGGGACCGTTGCCGAAGTTGAAGATAAAACTCAGGCTCAATCCCAAAGATCCAGAAGAGAAGAAGGATCCGTTTCCTACGACGTTCAACGACGAGAATACAGACTACAACAATGATCTTCCACAGTACCCTGCTTGGCAATCGTCAGTGAAGACGCGGACTAGACGGTCAGTACATAAGCCGCAGCATGAGGATGTCATAGAGGGCAGTGACTATGACCAGATGATGGGACTTAGCTCCAAAGGCTTTGGAGACGACGACATCAAGTTTCAGCCAGACTTCTCGCGTGGTTTGCGTAAGTGTATTTTCTCGGGAAACCTATACAAAGCAGCATTGCTAAACAGCACAGCGAATGCTCTGGGTAACATCCAATATTCGGAAGTCTCATCATCATACAAACATCAGAAAAAGCGAAGCGTGGGTCGTCCACGCGGCAAACAATCCTCGTTTATATCCCACTTGGATACGGTCAGTGAGGAAGAAGACTGTCCATCATCGTCCACACTCGCAGCTCAGTCTTCTTTTGAGCACACCAGCTTCCAACCAAGCCAGGACGTCTACGACATCCTGAACAGCCTCAAGGCCAGCACCAAAACCCACATCGACCTCCCCAGTCTCAGCAATGCCGCCGATCCTGACGCCATCCAACCCTACAGCGCCTCGCTCCTGACCAACCTCTACATACTCTGCTACCACGAAAACCTCTGGAACCTCTGCGACCTAATCACCGACACTTGGATCCGCGCCTTCCACGCGCGCCGCAAAAAAGCCTACACGGACCCTGCCTACACCCTCTGGCGCCGCAACAAAGCCCTCGAAGCCCGCAAACGCGCCGCCCACCGCGCCCGCCTCACCGCCACCATCATCCCCTCCGAATACGACGTCAACCCCATAAACCTCCACCTCGACGCCACAGACCCCGATCTCGAACCCAACATTACAGACCCTCCCCTCCACCTCCTCACCTTACTCTACCACCACACGCCCGCCACCTGCGGCGCACGCCTTCTCTGGGCCGACGCGCTCGCGCTGGCCGGCGATGTTACGGAAAAAGGGATGGAAGCAGCGCGCAAGAAGGGGGAGGAGGTGCATCACGAGTTGGTGTGGAATGTTATGCAGAGTGCACTGAGGATGGTGAGGAGGAGGTTGACGTTGAAGTGTGAGGAGAGTACCGAGGGGGCGTGGTGTAGGCGGTATCATGAGCATGGGAGGGGTGGCGGGGGGAGGTGTTATAGGGAGGTTGCTGCGGAGGAGGAGTAGGAGGAGTAGGAGGAGTAGGGGCTATGGGGATGAAGCGTGTCACTTTGGAGCATGATACAGATGGAGATTTCTAAGGCGAATCTGCTGGAGGGTTGGGGAGGTAGGAGAGTCTGTGCAGGAGTAGGCAAGTAGCAGGTGAGAGACTTTGGATGGGATTGTTTAGCACCAGACTAGTCAACGACGGTTCGGAAAAGTACGTATCAGACTCATGTTCTGGAGAGATGGCAGGATTTTCCGCGCCAGCCTGTTTGTAAGCACAAAGATGCGTGTTTTGTGCAAGTGGGTTCTGTATTTATTGCCGCAGTGGGGAGTTGTTGTGGGTGAGTGGGAATCAGTGCGCACGGAAAAGTATCCAGGCGATAATTTTTGCGTCACTCCAGTAAGTATATAGTCCAAGGTAAGGATAACTGATAATCAAGCCGGAGATACCCTAGCATCTACAATACGTGCAAGATGGTGTTGTACTTTAGTGTCTTGTTTGCACCTCCAGTACGCCCTCGCACCTTCCACTTCCTTACAATCCTCACCACTAACCTGAAAGCAGTGAAGCGCCATGCACACGACCTCTGCTTCCAAGCACTCTGATAACAACTACAACTATTTCGCACAGCCAAGAAGACAGGTCGACATGAATTTCTCCGTCCTCGGCAGTCTTGCCGTCCACACACTTGCCTCCAGTTGAGCTTGATCCCATTTCACTCACAGGACCCCTCAGACACTGACCGCAACAACCATCCTTCGCGTAAAACGGAAGAATTTCTCTGACTCACGCGGCCGTGAATTGAGCCGCATCAATGAAGTATAAATGGGGCATCCCCAACATCGGCGCCTTGGAAGATACCCACCTAGTTACGGAAGATGCCAACCACTGCCCCCAACTCCGATAGCAAATTTAGTCAGCAACACGACCCCCAGTTCCACATAACTCAACAAGAAGCATATCCAGCAGCCAGGTTCCGCCATGTGGCGTGACAGCCGCAGTCTGGTACCTCGCTACGGCCGATGTTACCTGCACAATGCTACCGGAGCCGCACAGCGAGCCGCGGCCGCGAAAATCGGAGTCCCGTCATACACCGAGTGCTCATGAACATCATCCGAACGAATACGACAAGAACATAATATTGACGTAAAGATGACCCTACATAAGCAATTGATAGTACGACGTCGGTTTTGCTTGGAAGGAAGCTTCAAAGTTTTGGCGGACACATGATGAGCTTGGTTTTGCACCAAGCTTTGAATCGCAGCTTTTCCCTTCCATTGTCGGAAGCCCAGCCAAGGCGCTTGCGGTCACACCGATACGCCAGTGGAGCCCTCGACTGCTTCTTGTTTTATGTCGGGTCATCTGCTGCCCTGCATACAAACCGAGCTCAAAGCTTTGCGGAGAAAGAGCAAAAGCCGGTGGGTTCTGGAGACTGAATTATCACCTTGGCAGCCTCACCAAACGGTCCAGCCGGGGCGCTCAATGTTGCCAAGCTTTGTGCCTGCGGGTCAGGCATTATCTTCGCAAACGAGAGCCTCCTGTTGTGTGCGTCGTCGGATAGTGCTTCCTGGTCGCTTTGCCACCTTGCTTGATCCTTGACAGCCGATGCATGCGGGCCGCTTTTCAACTTGTCAACCCAGGAACGCAGAGAATGACATATGGCCGGGGTGACGATCACCACGTGTTGTCGGCGAGCACAACACCCAACGTTACATGAAAAGACCCCACGTAAGTATGCACAGCCAAAGTCTAATCAACACCATTTGAGTTGGAGAAGCACTCGAAAGTCGGCAGATGCGTTTGGAGGAGCCAAGTAGCTAGCACAGATGAAGGATTTGGAGCCGCATCGCTTGACACCACATCGCCGCCATGGGGCTTGTCCGTGAGCTTAATTTCAAAAGCCGAAGTTCTGCCCAGACACCACCCGTTTGGGGATATTTCTGCCGGGCGACCAAACTCGTTACGAGGCATGCAGCATGGTCAGCATGAGCGACCCTACTTTACCCGTCAAGGCCATTCTCCATCGGGTGTTCGCAACGATTCCATAGGCCATAACGGCAGTTCTCCGGCCGCTATTGATTATTGCCCGCAGCTTCCTGGTTGGGTTGGTTAAAAAAAGTGTGGGAGGCGGGATCGATTGGGGAATGATGCGGGGTTTCCTGGGTAGTGATGCCAATAACTGACTCGGTGCTTAGCCCAACTCCAAGCTCCACAAGACGTACCAACAAGGAAGCTTTCTCTACTCAAGCCTCAATGGGCCACTGAGCAAGTCTGGGCGCGCGACCTGCAGCACGGCATGCTGTGCGATAGGCCATGGCCTGATCGTTCGGATACTTATGACAAGAGGATGCGCACCCGGCTTGCCTAACAAGGCCAAGTTGCAACGCTCGCAAGCGCCGACAATGCGCTTGGCCTATCGTACGTCGGGGAAAGTAATGTTGGGAAGACCATCCTGTATCCCGCCCGCCGGAGGAGACAGCGCCCCTTGACAACGAGCGAACGTGGGGTTACACCGGGGCCGAATTTTCTGGGGTCTATCCGGGGTGGTGTGGTATGGTGGCCTGGTAGCCTTACTCTCTCCGCATGTCGTACCCCACACCACCTTTTCAATACATATAAGAGGCGCGCAAAATTTCCTGTAGTTTGAGTCTGTACTGCCTCTCCACGCTGCTGGACAGACCCAGTTATCCCAGCTCGAGAGTATCTGAACCGCCACTTTGTACGAGCATCTGCAAAATCTTGCCCAGCATGTGGAACCCCTGGCGTGAGAACTTGAAGGACACCCCCAAGGAGAGCCTGAACTGGCGTCTCTGGTATGGTGTCTTTGGTAAGAAACCCATCGTATTGATCTCACTCTTCCTGTTCCTAACAAGAGCGTAGTCTTTGGAATCATGGGTGCTGCCCGTGGTATTGACGAAGGTCTGATCGGCACAACCGCTGAACTCATTCCTTTTCAGAAGAAGTTTGGTCTCGCAGACAACCACAAGAGCGAGCATGAAAAGGCAGAGCTCTTGTCTAACATCACCTCCATGGTGCAGATGGGATCCATTCTGGGATCCTTGATCGCCTTTTTCATCACTGATAAGATTGGCCGTCTCTGGGCTACACGCCAACTCTGCATCATCTGGGTCATTGGCATCACTATCTTCCTCACTAGCTCCTTGACTGGATCTATTGGCCAGATCTACGTCGGAAGATTTATCGCGGGTGTCGGAATCGGCCAGACTACTGTCGTTGCTCCTACCTATCTTGCCGAGACTGCACCAAGGGCTATTCGAGGTCTCTGTGTCGGTACATTCGCTGGCTCCGTGTACATTGGTATCATGCTTGCCTACTTTGCCTCCTGGGGCTCGTCCATCCACATCTCGTCCAAGACCGACACCCAGTGGCTAGTCCCCAACAGCATGCACCTCATGTTCGCCGGTATCATTTTTCTCCTCTCTTGGTTTGCCAAGGAGAGTCCTCGTTGGTTGATCAAGGTTGGTCGCCACGAGGATGCTCTGAAGAACTTGTCGATTCTTCGCCAGCTTCCCGAAGACCACCCCTACGTCACTTCTGAGATTATGGACATCAACGACCAGCTCAACCGTGAGCGCGAGGCTACCATGGGCACCTCCTGGCTCGGCCCAATCCGTGAGCTATTCAGCAGCAAGGCCAACCTCTACCGTATCCAGCTCTCCGTCTTTTCCCAATTACTCTCTCAGTGGTCCGGCGCGAACAGTATGTATTGCCTGTGCGTATAACTTGTTGCGATATTTGTTAACTCTCTGAAGGCATCACCATCTACGCACCTCAATACTTCGCAATGATGGGTAAGACTGGCCAAAGCGAGAAGCTCTTTGCCACTGCCATCTTTGGTGTTGTCAAGTTCGTCAGCTCTATGCTCTGCGCTTTCTTCCTCATTGATTATATTGGCCGCAAGCGCTCTCTGTCTACCGGTATCACACTGCAACTCGTATCCATGCTGTACATGGCCATCTTCCTGCTCATCGACACCGGCATTGGCGAGAAGGGCGCTGTACAAACCTCGAGCCAGAAGCATGCTGCCATGGGCGCCATTGTCATGATCTACTTCTCCGGTTTCGGATGGGCTCTCGGCTGGAACTCGATCCAGTACCTGATCAACTCCGAGATCTACCCTCTCCGTCTCCGTGCGCTCGGTGGCTCCATTGCCATGACATTCCACTTTGTCAACCAGTACGGAAACTCCAAGGCCGTGCCCCTCATGTTCATCTCCATGACCCACGGCGGCACTATGCTTTTCTTCTCGTGCGTCACTGCCATTGGTCTTGTTTGGGTCTGGTTCTTTCTCCCAGAGACCTCTGGCAAGTCGCTCGAGTCACTCGACGAGATGTTCAATCTGCCCTGGTACCTTATTGGTCGCAAGGGCGCAGAGCTTACTCGCGGCACTGGCGCCATGTCTGAGATTCTCGACCATGCTGGCGAGAAGGCTACCACAGTCGAGGTGGAGAACGTTGAAACCCAGAACCATCGCGCTGAAGCCAAGGCGTAGAGATTCGTGCAGTAGAGTAGTGTATATAGAGTTTTTGCCAGTGATGGCGTCCACGTAATTGATATGAAGTCATGAATGTACATGATATGAAGATTTTGCCTCTCTTACTTGCCTCGCGCTCTTGTGCATCGTTACAATAGAAACATGAAGTGAGCTTTTGTCAATTGAAAATATCAAATGCTTGAGAATGGTTTGCGGAAATATCATATTTGCCAGTGTAGCTAGGAAGAGAAGCGTAAGATGATTGAAAGAGACCGTTTCGAGGCATAGAGGTTACCTTCATATAGTCTAGTCCTACAATAAACTAAGTAGGATATCTGCTGAGGATGGGGATCACGTGAAGAGCGTGTCGGCATGTAGACATGTGTATGACAACTACCAAGTTCACTATTTATCATGCGCATTAAATAGAGCCTGTATGTATTTATTTGACGATTCATGATAGTTACTCTATTACATTAACATATTACTTTTTCTTTCTACACGACTGCTCGATGCATCATCCTTCTCCCCAATCAAAACTCGATTCAGCACTGTCTGTGGCAAGCAACCACAAGTTAGGAAACTCGCTCTAGCTTAGGAACAACAGCCTACTTACTGGGAACCAGGCTGCAGCGCAAACCCAAGCTTAACCTTTTTCGGGTTCGTAAAGTCATGAATGATAGTCTTGCCCTTGAAAAAGTTTATGCCGAAGAGAGAGAAATCCACGCCTCCACCAATGTTTTGCAGACCACCTAGGCAGATCTTGCCCTCGTCATCCATGGGCTGCGAAATGAGCTGGCAACCCGGTGTGAAGAACTTGCGGCCGCCAATAACGACGGTCCAGCCTGGAGGCTTGCTGTTGCAAGGGATCGTGTAGCCCTGCTCGTCCTTTGTGACTGCGCCCGGGATCTTGGAGTACCACTCTTTGACGATATCCGGATCTGTAAAGCTAACATCTGTGCCAGAATTGAGATGAATATTCATTTTTCGAGGGCTAGTCTTTGCGTTCTTGTCGCCGACGCTCCAGCCATCGCCGTAGAAGCTGTACGCGGCCCAATAGTCCTCGAGGACGTTGTCGACCCAGGTGATGGCGCCGTTAATCTTTTTGGTGTTGATGAAGCCGAATTCGAAGACGCCGTGGCCCTTTGTGTGGACGACGCTGAAGACGGGTTTTGCGAGCTGTGGGAGCGCTTCCCTGAACCAGGTCTTGTGGGTTCCGAGGTCGCCGAGGAAGTTGTATTCCATGGGGCCGAGTCCGAGGAAGCCGTCTGCATCCGTGTCGTCTGTGAAGTCCGAGATGGCTTGGGTGGCGGCTCCAAAGGTTGTCTTGGCTGTGATGCCACCGACAGTGACTGTTTGAAGAGTTTGAGTTAGCATAAGTAAAAAAAAAACTCGGAGCTAGGCTTGTCTCTTTTTTTTTGCAACGACTTGCACCACTACTACTATATGGATTTGACTTACTTGGCTCGACGTATAAATCACCAGCTACCTGTGCGTTGGCGCCGTCATATCCAATAGTGAAATTACCGGGTGTCTTGTGGGCAGGGTTGAGGTCGTAGAGGGTGTGACCGCTCGTCTGGTTCTTGGGCATGGCAGAAGAATAGACCCAGCTTGGAGTAAGCGTTAGCGCAAAATTCATGAGTACTACCGAGATATGCGGAGTGCGGCTTACGTATCAGAGACTGAAGTTGTTCCATAGAGACGGAATGTCTTGCCAGCGACTTGCACGGGATAGATAAATGCAGCATCCCATGAGCGAGGACTTTTACCATATGCGGTGCCAGTGGCCTCTCGAGCAGCCAATTCGGCGTGTCTCTTCACAGCAAACTGGTTCGCAGCCTCGGCGAGCTTGGGGTGCACCTCGACACCGGCCTTGCGCTTGATGTTGACGATGTGCTCGAGCTGGTGCAGAGGGGCTGGATCGACTTCTCTCGACTCTAGAGTAAAAGTGGCGCCAGCTGTTTTGAATTGAACATTAGCCAAGTTCACACAAGTTTTTTTATTGAAGGAATTTGCTTCAACTTACCATCTGGAACAGGTGTGGCAGTGACTGCGCTGGTGTAGGCGAGTATAGCGATGGCTTTAGCGAGGGTCAACATGGTGAGAGTGACTGGCTATCTATTATGAATAAAAATGAATGTGATCTATCGGCTATTATGAAAACGATGGTGGTGTGCAGTATATGCAATTAGAATCGAGAGCGAGACGACTGTCGTGAGTATTTTCTGAAACGCGAAGTCAATGACCGTCTTATAGGAAGCATCACCGACGATGTTACTGTGGAATGACAGCTCTGGTCTTGAGGTCTGGGCTGGGTATTCAAACGTTAATTGGAGTTTTTTCGGAGCGCCAAATGATCATAGCGCACGGTATTCTGACAGTAGCGGTTATATTTAGTGGTCAGAGAGAGTAGTTGGACGATGTTCAATTTCGCGGTCAGTCTGACGGTGACATTGCTGACTGCAGTCGGCTTTATTTGGGTAATTGTGCCGCTCGAAGAGAGATTTGCCTGCTCAAAACAAAAGTGTCTGCTTAGGTGTTGTAGCTTGGCTGAAATACAGTACCATATTGAGGACTAAATTACTGTACAACAACTGGAAAAAGAAGGCAGGTATTGTAGAGAGAAAGGACTAGTTTTCGTGGGGGATTTGCATAACTACCGTAGCCGTTGGAGTGCATGAACCATGCTCCCGCCAACAGTCTCCTGACTCGCGCAACCGTCATTCCCGTGCGCCTCTAGAACTTCCAGAATATGATATTCGGTCTATGTACCCAAAGCTAAGGCGGCCATGTCTGTACCAGCCATTGGTTAGAAAAAGGCTTGGCATTCTGACACCGTAGAGTTCATTGAAAATTTAACTAAGCAACTGCCGCCGGGAAGTCTAATTTAGACTCTAAACCAGGGATATCCTGGCGGGAGAGCGTTTTTGACCGAACTGGCGATGCGCGGCCCAATCAAGTCTGCCATCTTTGAGGTATTGTCTCACAACGGCTGTCCCCGACGCTTACTACGTAAGATAGCGATACGAGATTGAGACACCGTGGGGGACTGTCAAGTCAATAAGCTTTTCTACAAATACTTAACTTTTGCTAATTTCGCCCCTGCCGTGCATAGACGGGTACAATTGGCGTATGGACCTGTGCTGCATAGTGTCGCATTCCAACACAAGGAGTACAGGTTGGCTAAAGAGACCCATATGTTCCCACTCTAGTTTTTTTCCGATTCAATAGTAGCATGCTTTGCGTCCTTCATACCGTCCATAACCTGATCTGCTCTCTTGCCTCCGATTCTTTGGAGTAGGTCATCAGGTACATAGCACTCCACAAACTCCCTGCTTTCATGAACAGGGTTGCCGGTACTTACGCGGTTTGATTCGATCGGAATATATTTACAATATTGAATCAGAAGTCCATATCTGCATACTGAGAATTTACATTCCTCTTTTACAAGGTACTGGCACGAGCAATTGAATTATGCAGCTGATCTTGCCATTATCGCTTCGTAAAGCGAGGAAAATTTCACATACTAGGACCCTAGCCTGTCCTATGAGGGATAATATGCTGAGCCGATGTACCGCAGCCGCTCAGCCACTTGGTATTCTGTAAAGTGAGTGGAAGGGTTCAAAAAGACTGCAAAATCCAACCCTTCCCAGGCGTGAATGGAAAGGGGACACCGCATGGGCGGTTCCTGCATAATAAACATATATCGTGACTGCCATGTTCTGGAGCTGTCTACGGCGTGGTCGATTGAGTTTTCTGTTCTGGGTTGCAGCCCATCGTAATTTCATTTCTGATTTAAGGTATAGTGACCATACTGTTACGGCTAACCTGGTGTCTCGTTGTACGGTACATCCCGTACTATATTGGTGGCATTTGGTGGTAGATCCGATATCAGGCTTCTATAGCCACGTACCGTGATACTACCGAGAAGCTCTCCTCGAGGGCGTTTAGCCCTTTACGTAACATTGGGTGAGCTCGCACACGGTTCATTGATTGAATTTTAATTCAATCAAGCCGTGTATTAGCAAGTGAATACAAGAGGACGGATCAGAGGAGACTGAAGCTCTGGTCGGTTAAGGGAGACGATACGGAGCATGTCTGGGCCAGAATATGAGCGTCTTGGGCTACTTGGTAACGGATGGAAAATCGCCCACCAATATGGCAAATAATGCTTGGACCTTACAAATCGGACCGTGTCGAGAGTAGAGATACATTGGTCATGATCATATGATGAAGTGATTTGAAATTCAGGTAGACCTACAACCATTGATCCAATCATTGCAAAGAGTACTAAATTATTCAGAAAGCGAGGATACACCTCTAGGCAGGTGATCTCTAAAGTTCCTGTCATAATAGCTTTTTCTTTGATACAATTACTGGCTCAAGCCGGCCCGGCAGATTATTAGACCTGCTGACGGTGAAGTATTTAGGTAGTCACGAACGCGATGCGGACAAGGATATGGTATAACGACAAATTGAAGCAGCATACAAAGAACAGCGTGTGATGGAAGCACTGCGAATGAAGGGCGTGGTCATGTCCGAACATGACGCGAATCTCGGCACATAAGCAAAAGACATATTGGTAAAGAATGGGATGAAGAAAATGTCAATCAGTAGCTCCATGGGAACATTTCAATCCGGGCAAGTGAGCGGTGGAGACATGCATGTAGGTGGTTGAAGAAGAAGTTAGCTTGGCAGATACGAATGGTTGCTTAGCATTGGTCCTTCTGCCTAGTCACCACTACTTTACACTATCAACCTATGGCGTTAGGGCAAAATAAAACAAGTCTAGTCTATTATCATATGTTATCTACCCGACATACGAACGCCTAGATAGTCTCGGAAGTTGCAAGCCGCCTCTATGTTAAGCGATTGACCAATGGCAGGGGCACACAAGACCACGCACGCAGTAGCTGCCGAGACGATCTGTTTCACAGCAGGAGCCCTATGCTCAACAGCAGGTATCATACGTTTGACAGCAGCAACAATGATCGTTATGATTTAGCCATATGCCGGTACGGAAGGAATCAACATGGCTAAGAAGGTATATAGCTGGCGAAATCTGCTCCTGGAAGCATTGCTTCTCACTACTCCGAGTGGTCTTGTTTTGTACGCGCCATTTGACAGAGAAAACGACAACATGTGGTTTCCATGGGTAACATTCCTCTTATCCCAACGGGAAGCATTGTCGATGAACTAACAATGACAGACTTCCGCGAGCATACTGCTATTTGCACGTGCGATGCCCCAAAGCTTCAAAGAACGTCTAGCACAACTAACAAGTTCAAGAAAATGTACTGGCATCAAGGTCCGACATCCGCTTCAACCACATCCAAGTCATCGGCACGCACAACTCGTACCACCGCGAGATATCTTTAGCCTAGCGCAACCTCTTTGAAAACACCACGGCCTCTGTGGAGCAGTTTCCTTCCCCCCAAAATCTATACTATTCTCACGCCGAGCTACACAAGCAACTAGAATACCAATCCGTCCGCTCCTTCGAACTGGACCTGCATTCTGACGAAAAAGGCGGTCTATATTATCCTCCCTTGATCTGGAAATGCGCGAAAGACGCGAACCTCGCCACGACGCCATTCGACGGCGAGATTCTCAAGAAGCCGGGGATCAAAGTCTTCCACATAACGGATGTCGATATGGACGTCGTTTGCCATACCTTTATCGAGTGTCTCCAGCAGATCAAAACCTGGTCAGATAACCACCGCCGCCATGTCCCTATCCCCATCGACCTAGAACTGAAAACCGACGTCCTCCCGCGAAAGTTTGGTGGTATTCCCCCAGGCGAAGCTACAAACTGGACCTTACCACGCATCCTCGACGTTGACGCAGAAATACTCTCCGTGTTCCCGCGCGAGCAGCTCATCCGCCCAGACGACGTGCGAAAGCCAGGCCTCACTCTCGAACAATCCATCTTGACGCACGGCTGGCCCAGTCTAGACTCTGTCCGCGGCCGCATCCTCTTCTTCTTCGACAACGATCCCAATCGGACCGACCCGAACTCGCCCCGCGAACTCTACACCGCGGATGCACCCAGCCTAGAGAATCGCACCGTGTTCACGAACGCGCGTGAAGGCTCAGAAGATGCTGCATTTATCAAGTACAACGAGCCGCGGAATGCCAAAAACACGGCGGAAATTCAGCGTCTGGTGCGCAAAGGTTACCTCGTGCGTACGCGCGCTGATGCACCGGTTATTATTATTATTCCATTATAGTCCTGTATCAGCCGTTGGCTATGTA